CCGAGGGGAGGAAGACCATTAAACCCTATTCCAAAAAAATACTGTAAAAATTTTTTTTTTTTTTTTTTTTTTTTTTCTGGTATAAAACAATGAGTGAAGCAAAAAAAAAAATGATATGAACACTAACCAAATACAAAACAGATAAAATCACAAAACAGCAAGCATAATACACCTGTAGTAATGATGGTTTCCAAGTGCAATTGTCAAATAATGCATAAAAAGGCAAAATACTGTCACAGTGCATCCTGTGATGTGATAAATATGAGGCTGAAGTGAACACAGAAATCAAACTTTAATACTGAGCTCCATCATTGCACTGCAGGTCAGATGTCACATATCATATTTTAAAACATCAACTGATTCCAGCTTGAAAGTATTTACAATGTTTGCTCTGATCAAATAAAACTTATGTCCTCCAATCTTTTACTTCTTTGTTTTTTATTTGTTCATTTTCTATTGTTATTTCTTGACTGCTGAGTAAAGCGGTTTGCCTGTAGATTTGGTTGGTGGACCACTGAGGGAAGCTGAGTTTTGGCTCAACTTTATGGCAGAATACTGACAAGAGGATGAGGAGGGTTCCACGATCTGAGCTTCTCCATCAGTGGTTTTGGTGGAGCCGCTTTGAAAATTGATAGTACAATAATGCATTGAAGCTGGGTCGTTAGGCGAAAAGTTGACTGTGGCATAAATGGTGCCCACTTTAGTCTGTAGGTCATCTGGTATCTCTTCATATATGCAGTCCTTTTAGAAATAAATGTTTAAAAAATATATATTTTTTTCCATTTAGTCTAAATAAAATTCATATTCAATACCAATTCTTTTCACTATAGTAATATGGGTGAAAAAAGTAAACAAACTAAATACATCAATATTCTTCCATACAAGCACTAACCTCTCTGGGATGTTCTCCAGATCTGTTTTCTGCTTTATCTGAACAAAGACATCCTGTAAGATACACAACAGTAAATAACATTTTATTAAATCCAGAGGATCCCAGAAGACTTTAAACTACATTCAGTCACACACACATTCACACAATGATGGTAACCAGCTACTGGATTAGCCACAGCTGACATTATTGCACAAAGCAGATTAAAATTTTACAGTATGATTTTCATGATCAGCAAAATCAGTAAATTAGTGAATAATCCTATAACAACATTCTGGAGCCAATGCTTTAACAAAGTAAGCTGTTGTCATGCATACATTTTTCCATAATTCATTTATTTTTCCAGTTTTAGACTGAAAGTAAATATCATTCCAGACTATTCAGGAATAATGATTTCAGGTAAAATATTGTTCTTTTGAATTCTATTGAGAATCTTGACACGGTTCTCCATGTTTTAGAATTAGAATTAATAATGACATTTACAGTTTATAAATGCAATTTTGTCCATATGAGACCCTTTGTTTGATGTTGTGCTAATAAATGATGTAAATTCTTACGTTTGTACAGACAAAATGTAACTATCACCAAAAGACTCAGCGTCCCTCCAACTGCTATCATGATGATTGGTGTTTTCACCACTGAACTCAAGCCACCTGAAATAAATGGCATTGTTTGAAACAGTCATGACATGATTACCCACATTTTAAAGAATCTAAAATAGATTTTACAGAAACAAAGTAAAAATGTTGTGGAAGGTTGGCAAGCATGATGTTCTCATACAGGCAGAGGATATGGATGCCTTTACTAAATAAACCCAACAACAAATCAAAAAAGCTATGCATATAATCAACACCAAAAACAGCTTGTACCCCATTACTCAGGTTCAGCAAAATAAATGTCTTAATGTAAAGAAGTGATCTTACCAGAAGTACCAGAAGTTGTAGTTGGAGTAGGAGATGTGGGTGTTGTGACTAGATATGAAAAGCATGGAGATAAAACCATATGTTATGATAGATGTGAAAGGGTTTTGAACTATAAATATGTAGAAGAGTGATGTTCATAAACATGATTTTGTCACCAAACACTGCTCCATGTCAATCAAGCATCCTGTTGCTTGATTGACACTCAAAGTTTCTCTTTTTAGAAATTACTTTTCAGTTATATTCTCATGCTGACTGTCATATATATATATTTTTGTAATTATGACAACTTCTGTCTGATTACAGGAAAAATGGAAATAAAATGAAAACGCTAAACCAATAATGCTGTACTGCCAGCAGTGTGCATCCCAGAATGCCAAGGTCAGATTGTGTTTTTGTTGTTTTCATTCCTCCCAAAGTTTGTGTTAAAGAATCATAAAAAGAAATAGATGCACATACTTCTGTATTTTTACCTAAACAAATATGTCTGGTGATTAATTAAAAGGTCTGTGATTTAACACAAGTGAACTTTACAAAGAGGAATGATAATTTTACAAGCACATTAAAACCACATGCTGTGCCTGTGCTTCCTGTATTAATGGCTGCTGAATAAAACCACTTCCTGTAATTCTCCTCCCTTTCAGCTCAGAAACACCTCAATATCGTCACCAGCATTTCTTTGCTTATACGTCTGAGAAACTAAAAAAAATAACCAAATTGAATAAATTAACCTCAAAATTTAATCAGGGATTTATTCATCTCACATTTATGCAAAGTCAACATTTTTCAATAATACCACAGCAGTTCTAATCAGGCTTAGACTCACCTACATTCAACAAGAGTCGGCTTATGAATATTCGACTGCCCTGCCGCTTCGTTCCACACCAGTATGTACCAGAGTCGTTGGCTCTTACGTCTTTCATTGTTATAGTGATATTACCATTCTTATTATTATTAACCATTGTAAACCTGGAGTTTTCATCTGCAGTTTCGGTACTTATGATATTTTTACATTCGATTGGATCTTCTCCCTGACAGACGAATTTGTCAGGGTTTTGGTCTTTGTCATCATATTTGCAAAAGAAATCAAGGTTCTCTCCAATAATTGGTGATTTTGTGAAAGTTACAATATCTGTAAAAAAAATAAGATTTAGAAAATTAGGTTACCTTAACAGAATGATATTTCATAATGTAGGTACACGAGTATTATTTACCTGTAACCGTTAGAATGAGTTTAGCTTGACGTTTATCTGTGTTTCTCTCCTCCATTTTACATGAGTAAAGACTGTCTGGAGAATCTTTATTTGAAACTTGATATGATTGTGGGGATAAGTCTTCACAGACAAAATCCTTGGACTTGCACCTAAACTGGATTTTTGACTGGTTTCGATCTGGATAATTACATATTGTGTTCCGTTTAGCTGCTTTAACTGATGAGTTACAGCTGTCTGCAAATCAGAAAGATAAATATTTGAAACAGACAAAATTTTATACATTTCTTAAACTTTACACTTAAATACAGTTAATTATTGACAATATTTTTTGCAATTTAAAAGTTGAGTGTAGTTTACCTGCTTTTACTTCTATTATTTTACCGATGTATTGTTTTGACTTTACTGTCAAGCTGCGTTTTTTGCTTTTGTATTGGAACAGGAGGGAGTTAAATCTTTCTTTACATTCAACAGTATGATTGTTTTGCTCTGAGTTAATTGTGGAAATAAATGTTTTCACATTTGTACTGTTTGGGAGTCTGCAGGTAAATTCAGTCACATCTTGCAGGCACTGTTTTGTTCCAACTGAAGCCTCAAAATCTGTAGATCAGACAGATAAAAATGTTCAGACGATGCCATGCCATTCAGTGAGACAATTTATAAGCTAAGAAATAAATTTAACACCTCAGAATTGTTGTGATTTTAACTTTAAAGTCAAAACTACCAATTATATGGGAAATCAAATGCCAGTGGATTCAAACTAGTTATGAACATAAATTGTTTGGTCACATTAAAATACAATTCAATAGATTTAACTCGTTAGTTTTCCGTTGTGATCTGGTGCTCGATTGAGACCGTAAGTGTAATGCTTCCGCAAGAATATGAAAACAGTAACTAAAATTGTGCAACAACAGTTATAACTCAGATATAAAAGGAGAACAGAGAAAAAGAACGCAAATTTTACCTGAAATCAGGATGATAAGCAGGAAGATGTTCTTCATTTCGCACATCCTGGACTGTTGTCATGTGTTGAAATTGTACGATGTCTTATCTTCTTTCACCATTTCCTGAACATGCGATCCAAAGCATCTTCAACTCCTCCACTCAGGTTCTTCCTTTATTCTATCTGGGGTACCTGTTGTGTGCTGCTGTAGTGAGACTGCAACAACTAACTAAAGACTGTAAAACCTTGCAGTAAATAAAACTATGCAATACATTTTCTGAATCACTTATAAGAATCATATTCTGATTCTTACAAGTGAGCTTAATATGAACAATTAGCAAATGGCTTTTCATTTACCTGTCATCAGTCAAAAAAAGGAATGAGTAAACACTATATTCTTCTGGAGCTTTATAATTCAGAAATCTGTGTATTGTTCTCATTCTAGAGACATTTGAAGTTTATGATTATTTGACTGCATTTAGCTGACGGTGCTTCTGAAGAACTGGTCCATAGAAGTGCATTTTATTTTGAAGGACAAAAGTTGTTTGGCTAGATTAGTAACAAATCACAGACATATGTGTAATATATAAATAGAAATATATTTTTGTAGCTTTTATAACAGTGAACAAGAACTGATTATAGAAAATAAACTCTAAAAATCAAAATAAGCTTAAATAAAAAAAAATCATTCTCACCTACATTTGTTTTTCGAAGAATTATCTACATGATTTTTTCTTTATTTTTGCTAATTTTATTTGTAAATATATGCATCCTTATTGCCTACAACTTTACATATCCAGCTAATTTTTTTTCTTGATTGTTTACTATTTCAAAGTTTGAATGTTTTTTGTTTTGTTTGTTGTTGCAGATTTTTCATTTGGCTGTCATGTTTAATGATTTCTCTTGCCCATTTTCTGACAAAAACTTGAGAAGTCATTATTTTGGTCTTCTTGCGCTATATCATACCATGCATCATATACATAAATATTCTCACAAGAATCAAAGCATAAAGCTCAAGCTGCCAAACCAAAATAGAAACGTTGCACATCTAGCCATTCTTGATCAAGAAATCTTCCCTCAAACCACATCCTGCTGAAATGTTTACTTGCTTATTTATGCCACTGCTCTACTTGTTCTTTATTTGTTCTTTCTAATGAATAGGAAGCAGATCTCGACTAAAATTAAGCATGAAATCAAACTATGGATAGACAGATTGGAAAAAAAAAATGTAATCTTTAAAATTCACATTTTGTAACCTCTGCAAGTTTCAGTTTGTGCCTTTTGGGATTATATTACATTACATTTATTTGGTTGAAGGATACAAAACAATGCAACAAACTTCCTTGGATTTTTTGGGGAAAATTTTAATAAACCATTCTACTGCAATTAATTATTTTATGCTGATATACTGCATAAAATCCCTGAAACATAAATAAAAGTCTGTGGTTGTAATACAACAAAGTAAGCAAACGTATTAATGGTGTCATCAAATGTTTAATGTTTTTATTATTTTATTTAATGGAAAAGATGTTGAAATAATTGTCAAGACCCACAAATTTATTTATTTTTATTTATTTATTTAGAAAAAATAAAAATAAAAGCAACAAAGAAGAAAAAAAATAAATAAATAAGTTATGAGGATATTGTTGAATGAAATTGCTTGAATTTGTTCTGCACCAAATAATCAACTGAATAATCATCTGGTCCATATGTTAAGTAAAATGTTGAATTCAGTATTTTAAGCCTTTGATAAATCATGCTGTTCCTCAACATGACTGAGGCAGGCTAATTGTCAAGCACTGGAAAATGAAATGATAATAATATGAAACTTATAAGTATACTATGCACACTTAGTTTGAAGACAAACAGCCTTTGGAGACACTGACCTCCAAATACACCACCAGATTGTGGTGACTGGGCTGTTTTCTGCAATATCAAGCTATCTGTGAAAACTAATAACTCAAATCACTGTTTCTAGCAAGTGTATGTGAGCATGTAGCCTGGGTGGAACACCAGCCTTGTGCTAAAGAGCTCTAATGGCTTTTGGCCAGTGCCTTTAGACTCTGATAACAACATCAGCTGCTCCAAATCAAACATGGACCGATGGCTCCATTGTGTGATTATGTTTTTTTATTAATGTTTGCCATCAGTGAGACCACTGGCTAATCTGAAAAGAAAACACAGATAGGATAAATATTTCATACAGCTTGGAGTCTTTTGAGCAAAACCAAGTGCTTTAACACATGCAGAGATGATTTGTGTTTATAAGACCCAGGGTTCAATCTATTGTGATTTATTAGATATTTACAGAGAAACATTTTCAGTGCTGAATCAGTAAAACTTCATAAAAGATTATTTTTAATATGCCCTTGTGATTAAATAGGTAATTGTTTTATGGATTTCTTTTTCACTTTAAATTGAGGAATTTGTTTTTCTCTTGTTCTCACAAATATGCCTGAGGTGTGTAAAAAACACTCAACAGCAGCTGATGAGACACAAAATGAGGGAGATGAGAAAAGATCAGAACATCACTTAGGCTTGAGTGCAGAGAAAATATTGTGATTTCTTATTAAATATGACAGAACAGACTTGGACTTGCTAAAAACATGTTAAAGGATCAGTATTATTTAAAGTTGTCTTTTTGGAGCTTTACATCATGTACTAATGTTGTTCCCTCATCAAAAACATATTTGGAGTATTGCTTTGATTCTTTCAGAAATTCTTGAATCTCCCATAGCAACCGTTCAACGGTGCAAAACACCTGGGTGGACCCAGCGCCACCTTCGAGACGCAGCTCTTCCTCGGAGCTGCAGTTTCCACGCTTCCATGTTAGAGAGCAACCCTCCTCCTTGACTCCCCCAGTCAGCTCCTTCAGACTAGCCAGGAGCAATTAGCAAATACCTGGTGGAACTGCGCATCTGCTGAGCTCAATATATGAGCTACTTCTCAATGCAAAACTAGTAAAGGGTTAATAGAGGAACAATGTTAGATGACTTCCTGAAGGTGGAGATTCAGAAAGAGCAGAGGCCCAATTTCAAGGACTTAAATTACAAAGTCAATTTTTTAAAATAATATTTTATATATGTAGCACAAGTCAAAATAGTTACTTCATTGTGTTATAAAAATGGGACTATGTGACTGAAATACATAATATTGCCCCTTTAGAAGTTAAAATGGTGGATAGAAGAATAATCACAGGTGTACAGAGAAATTATCAAATGAGTTTATATTTGAACATTAGCATGCTTTATGAACAAAGGTTTAGCATCAGCCTTTGTCTACTGCACATACATCACATAATATTCCTCTGAAATGTCAGAGAGCATGCAGTGAGTTTGACTGATGAAGGTTAATCTTGCCTGGAGTTTGGGGAGCTGTGTTGTGTTTACTCAGGGATTTAAAAGCCTGTCAGTAACCCAAGGCTTCAGTTTGACCTCTGACAAACTCTGCTCTGTACTTGTCAAACACACATGCACCTCACCCCCAGATTAGTGCCTGGACAGTCATTAGTTACCAATAAACCCAGAAGATATTAAACTGGTTAAAGATGTGTTAAACTACTTATAAATAAATAACTGACAATCATTTTGGACATGTTTTATTTCATACAGGTCACTAAACGTCATTTTTAATTCTTATCCGTTTTTGAAAGACAGTGGTGATACAGTCAGAATGAAGCTGATAATGTTGTATAAACACTATAATCTCTAATGGTGGGAAATCTTCCTATATGGCAAGCTTTTGGAATCTTTAAACAGCTAAGGCTTTTCTAAGAACAGATGTGAATTTAAATTCTCAACACTATTTTTAAGCTTTAACTCCCTTGTTGAAAGCATTCCTGTCTCATTTTCTTCCTTTGAAGAGAAACATGAAGAGTTTTTTTTTTTTTTCATATTATATAATATAGACTACTACACACACAGAAAATATGTCTTTATGAAAATTAGCAGCTGTAGGCTGAGATTTACATTTTGGTGTAATACAACAGAATCCATAGATTTTCCTTATTTTAGTGCCTGCAAAAAAAATAAAAAATATATGGGGACAAATATTTGGCATATTACTAAAACTGTTGTAAACAGTAACTAAACAGTCAAAACTTAATACTGGCTGTGGGGTGTTTTGGTGCAGAGTTAAGAGAATAAGTTGATGGTCTTCTAAAAAAATTTAAAAATGAGAACATGGCAGCTTTTGATAGTCTCAGCTGTACAGGAACTAACCAATTATTTAATTGTAGGTAGCTTATCAAATCACATACTCCTCCTGAGTACACAGCATACGTTTTAATAAATATAAATATA